ACATCATCTCGCATGGACCGGCTCGGCAGCAGCACAGCGCGCCCTGTACTTTGCTGCAAGACAAGCACCGCGACAACGCTGCGTCGCAGTGAAGGCGGCCAAGTCTGGGTGAAACTCATACATAGCTTATCCAGACAATTTAAAGCGATATTATACACAATGAAGGGCCAAGGCCGGGAGGCTTCAAAATGCCTAATCGAGAGAAATCCTCGGCGAGAAGACAGAGTCTAATTTTTTCATCTCCGCAGGTTGATCAGTTTTGATCCGTGGATCAAATGGCCTTTTCCGACCTTCCATTTTCGCGCCGAAGTGCAACATAGAAGTCTCCATCTGTCGTACAGGCTGATCAGAACTGTACTAGCGCCATGCCGATTATTTAAAGCAAATTGGTGGAAGATAAGGTTAAATTTTAGCCTGGCGACGATCCTAGATGGTCTACCGGAAATACAGTCTCGGAACGGCAGTTGAGCTTGACGCCTGCGAGAAATTGTTTCGAATATGCCACAATTGAGGGGCCTTTCTCGGGCCAAGAATCTTTGTTAGGCGCTCAGCGTAGTACTCCCCTGATAAATCAAGTCCGCGACTGTTGCCATGTGCGTCGAATCACACGATTCATGGATGCGAAGCGAAGCTAACATCGTTGCCAGCCCTGGGCGCCCAAAAGTGCAGAATCAGGACATCTCTGAGAACAATCGTCTTGTACTGTTGAGTCCGAGCCTCGGGGCTGGGCCCGCCTATCTGACAGGGTATAAGAAGATGTCATTTCCATTCCATTTATGTGGCGTCTGGAACCGCAGAAATTGCCTTTCACTCCTAATTCCCACCGAGCCTAAACGTCGCACTGTTATCAAATAATTATAGTACCTGGAGAGATACTACATCAAACAACCACCCATCATGAAGCTGTCCCTTTTCATGATAGCTGCAACTTATGCCGCAACTGCGCAGAGCGCAATCACTTGGAGCCTCGAGAAGGCTGCAAGCCCTACAGCGGATCAGACAGACGCCTACAACAAGATCGAAGCCGCAATGCGTCTTGCAGTTGCCCGTCACTCTCGACTGGGAAGCGCAACGAAGAACTTACGCGTTTACTATACTCCTGGTGTACCAACTGCGGAGGCAAATTATAACGGCGACGTCAGATTCGGCTCAAACCGAGCATATATGAATGAGAGAACGGCCCTCCATGAGGTCTCTCATACTCTGGGAGTTGGTCAAACTGCTGCGTTTGATAGGAAGTGTGCTGCTAGAGATTGGGCTACTGCGCTGCCATTGTTACGGTCCTGGGATGGTTCGGGGGCAGTCATCAACTGTGGTGGTTCCCACATCTGGCCTTACGGGCTGAACTACGATACAGAGTGGAGTGAGACAAACGCCAACCGTCACGTCCAACTCATAAATGCCATGATTCGGGATGGCATGTAGCTGGCAGGGTCTTCAACGTTGGGGCATATGTTCAATAGTCTGGGCAGTTGATGACGTTCTTGACCGCAGCTATGGTCTTCTTCACCGGCGCGTCTTCTACCATCGGACTTCTCTGGAGACTTGGTATGATATTTTCAGTAATATTATGTTTGTTTGTTTGTTTGTTTGTTTTATATTTAACGCCATGGCGACAAGGGCGCAGCCGCCCTTGCGGCAGACCTCCCGGAGGGTATGTGGCGTGAAGGGTCGCAGGCTCTAGCTATATACTATATAGTACACGCCGTATCCTGACGTCCTCCAAGTCTTGCTCGTGAGCTACTATGTGTTCTATCCATCCCTAGTTCCCACTGGTGCCCTAGTTCCGTTATAACCATCTGGTTTCTTAATAGAGGTAGTTTGTCGTTTGGAGGATAGGTTATGACCTATCTCCTAGTGCCGCGGGCAGATCTTCTGGAAGAAGTCTGTCACGCAGAGGAAGGCCTGGAAGCCTTCAGAGTCAGTGATTAGCCCCTTGAAGTAGCGATCGAGGGACCCTATAGGTCCTACGGGCTCCTGGCGGCTGTAGGGGTAGAGGGTGGGCCACTGTTGCCTCCTCAGTAGGGTCTTTCGGCAGTAGACTAGATGGTCTGCCTCCTTAACCCATCCACAGGAGTAGGTAAGTAGTGCTTCTGTGTGGTTAAAGCGTTGGTGATATTGTTTAAAGTCCCCGTGGCCTGACCGTGCCGCGAGGAGGTGATGAAGGGCAGCCCTAGGGAGGCCAAGTTCAGGAGGGTAAGCAAGGGTAGCCTTGAGCCCTAGTTAGGTATAGCGGGGAGTTGCCTCTTGTTTCCACCATCGTCTATATTGGCGTCTTGGCCGCTCTTTAGCAAGCCACTTAATACCTAATAGAGTAGCTAGTTAGCCCCTAGGGACTGGTAGTGTTGGTATTCCTTTCACAGGGAATTTGGTTCGAACCGTAGGGTCCTGGGGGTGACGAAGTATCAATATCTCTGTATTGATTGATTCTGCGTAAGGAGTAGAAGGGAGATTCCAACCGGAGGTTGGGTGGGTAGTCGAGGTCTAATTGTACTCCCTCGAGGTGGCCCATGCTCTGCCCTTACTCGCGGTCGAATTGGACTTCCAGTCCGACAGGTAGAGTTATTCCCTCCTTAGCTAGGCTATCTGCTTCTTCGTTTCCTTTAATATCTTGGTGCCCCGGGGACCAATGGGTTCGTATATCGTATATCCTAGCTACCTCCTGGATCTCTAAGAAGGCAGCTTGTGAGGAGTCTGGGACCTTGCCACGGATTCCCTGGATGACACTGGTATTATCGATGCAGATGTGTATCGGCTGGCCCTGAGAGGTATGGAGGGCCCGTCGGAGCCCCGCCCTCGCCCCTTCCGCCTCACCGTCAAGCACCTTTACTAAGCCGAGGCGGCCGCAGGGCTCCCAATAGGCTCACGGGTACCCGTGCATGTAAAATTCCACGGGTACCCGTGAAAATGACTAAGCAAGCTGGCGGCACAGATTGACGAACGCGTCTCGCGTCATTCTACACGTTTCTCTGCTCATGGCAACTCGGCCACAAGTTTCTGAAAAGAATGGAAACAGCCCCGGACAATCCAGCACTCAATTTCCTAGACGACTGTCTACCTCCTGAAAGCGAATATGAATCCCGCGATGACCTCATATTGGGAATTAACAATTGGGCAGCAACAAGGGGATACGCCTTCACGACCGGGAGATCGACCAAAGAGAAGAGTGGACGGCGGACAATTACGTATTCGTGCGATCGGTCGTGTCATCCCCCAAGCAAAGCAATAGCGCGCCAAAGACGAACCACGAGCAGGGGAACCGGTTGTCAATTTTCCGTGCTTGCCAAAGAATCCTTGGATAAAAGCACATGGAGCTTGAGACACCGCCCCGATAAACGGTTTTCTTCTCATAATCATCCCCCAAGCCAGCATCCGTCTGCTCACCCAACACACCGTAAGCTGACAGAGGAGGATTTTGCGAAAGTAGCCGGCCTATCAAATGCTGGCGTCGCGCCCAGGGATATCCGGACATACATACGACAAACCACAAACTCTGTAGCAACCCAACAGGATATCTACAATCATATTGCAGCCATCAAACGAGATGTTCGTGGAGGGCAGACCTCAATCCACGCACTTGCCAATCAGCTTGACGAGGAAGGCTTCTGGAGTCGAATGCAATTCGCACCAGATGGCCGCGTTACAGCTGTCTTGTTCGCCCATCCAGATTCCTTGGCCATCCTACAAGCTTACCCAGACGTAATGTTGCTGGACTGCACTTACAAGACCAACAAGTACGGTATGCCGCTTCTTGATATAGTTGGCGTCGATGCTTGCCAGCGTTCCTTCTGTATCGCGTTCGCATTTCTTAGTGGCGAAACGGAAGAAGATTATACCTGGGCTCTGGAGCGGGTCAGGTCCTTGTATGACCAGTGTAACGCTAGCCTACCTGCGGTTGTCTTCACAGATCGCTGCTTAGTATGTATTAATGCTGTAGCCGCTGTCTTTCCATCTTCGGCATCTTTGCTTTGCCTCTGGCATGCAAATAAGGCGGTGCTTCAGCATTGCTACTCTGCGTTCGACCTTGCCAAGACGAAGATAACCAGTAGCCCTGCAGCGCCAAAGTCATCGACTGATAACTGGGAAGAGTTCTACAAGTCCTGGCATTTGATTGTTAGCTCGCCGTCTGAGATGACCTTTCGGGAACGTGTTTCTCACTTCGAAGAACGCTATCTTACGGACCATCTTGAAGAAGTCGGCTACGTTACGTCCTTTTGGCTCCATCCGTACAAGGAGAAGCTAGTGAAAGCCTGGGTTGATCAGCACACGCACTTTGGCAACGTGGCTACCTCGCGGGTTGAGGGCATCCATGCTCTGCTCAAATCGCACCTAAAGAGATCCACGTTGGATCTGTTCGAGGCTTGGCGAGCGATGAAGCACGCGTTACTTAATTAGCTCTCGGATCTGAGATCTAATCAAGCCAAACAACAGACACGAATACCGGTCGAGCTTTCGGGAACAATATATGGCGCAGTACTTGGCTGGGTATCGCATGAAGCCCTCCGGAAAGTAGAAGAGCAGCGGAAGCTGCTCAGTAAGAATGGCACAGACCATTCCTTAGTCTGTACGGGGGCCTTCTCTCGTGTGTACGGTCTGCCATGTCTACACAAATTAAAGGCTTTACAGGAACAAAATCTTGTTCTGCTACGTGAGCACTTTCATGCGCATTGGCATCTGAGGCGTGAAGGAGCGCCGCAGTTGTTACTAGAGCCTCGCCAGCGCATCGAGCCCAGGTTGCAATCGGAGAACCCCCGAATTCCGAAGTCAAGCACTAGGCGAGAGCACGCGGTACTAGGAGATAGGTCTTAACCTATCCTCCAATCGACAAACTACCTCTATTAAGAAACCAGATGGTTATAACGGAACTAGGGCACCAGTGGGAACTAGGGATGGATAGAACACATAGTAGCTCACGAGCAAGATTTGGAGGACGTCAGGATACGGCGTGTACTATATAGTATATAGCTAGAGCCTGCGACCCTTCACGCCACATACCCTCCGGGAGGTCTGCCGCAAGGGCGGCTGCGCCCTTGCCGCCATGGCGTTAAATAGAACAACAAAAAAAATTTTTTGTCTTCTTGGTTTTTGAACGGAAGGGTTTGATTTTCAGTAATTATTCAATGGAAAGATCATGAAAGAATGATTTGCACGCTTATGAGGCTTATCGCATGGACAAGGGACAAGATTATATGTTTAGTCAATCCCTCCTCCAAGCCTTTTCACCGAACCAACGAGTCAGCTTGACCGCGTTTACATCCACCAATGCATTGAAGACATCGCTCGCCCACAAGAGTGCAAGTGTGTTGACCAGGGTTCCGTACAAGAACGCAAGCCTGTACGCACTCCAAGCCGTTTGCGTTAAGTCTATTGCCGCGGCCTCGTTGCCACCCTCTGTAAGTGTCTGAGCCTGGGTTTGAGCAAGCTGCAGCGCGGAATACGCCGGAGACAGCCATCTCACTCCGATCATGTGGTTTATGGCACCATGCCACAGATACAGGGAGTACGAGATGCGCCCTAGATATTGGGCGAAGCTTGTGGTAAAAGGCCGCTGGAGAAGTGGTTCGAACCTGACTGCTTCGCAATCTGGAAACGTTGCCGCTGCGAGTTCTTCCTTGTCTCTGTCATTGAGGCTAGGACTGGTTTGGTACCAGGGCAAGCGAAAGTTGCAAACCAATGGGACATCGAGGTTGAATGATACGGCCGGGGAGTACATCAGGGCAAAGACGAATATGACGGCGCCAATAGAGTTCCAGAAGAGTTGAGTCCGGTCTGACGTAGCTTGGTAGTAGGCAGGCACCCACTGGGAAATTGTAATGAAACCCGGAGTCGATGAGCCGTAATACTCCGGGTACGAGAAGAGGTGCAAGCCGAGGAAAAAGAGAGCCAAAGTACCGGCGTGACGAAAGATGTAGACGATCCTTAATCCAAACTTCGTAGTGATCGCGTTGCTATAGCCGAGGGTCTCATGTTCGGCTGCATCTGACGGCGGGCTGCTGTTGGGAAGGATGATTGAGATCTCTGCAAGTAACAGGCCTATACAGAAAAGAGACTGGTCCCAGTCGCCGATACGAACCAGCCAGAAGGCTGTACCCATAACGCCAGCCATGTGAATCCACCGTTTTGTCCGAGCAAAGATAAGTAGAAGGAAGAATACGAGCAGCGAACCTTTGAACTCAACAGGTATTGTCCATAGATGTCCGTCATACTCGCTTCCTCCCATATTCTCTCTGTTGATAATGGGTCGAAACGGGTTCGATAAATTGATCGAACTCCAGAACCAGTGCCGTAGCTGTTCGGTAAGGGTTTGTCCTCTCGGCGGGATAGGTGCTCCCGACGGATCCCTCATATAGTTCCCCCCATAGACCAGAAGAGCGATGATGAATGTTGAAGCAAAAATGGGAATATATAGTCGTAAAGGGCGGCGGAACGCGGATCCAGCTAGTACACTCAGAGCCTGGTCTACCTTGCGGTTGTGAATCATCGTCAGGGTCTTCAAGGTGAGAACGAAGCCCGAGATGACGAAGAAGACAGTGACGCTAGCTCGTCCGGAGTGCAAAGCTCGAATGATGGGCATCTGCCAGAAAATGTGGTGACCTTCGACGCCGTACCCCCAGCGAAGGTCCGGAAACCAGAGGTAAGAATAGTGGAAGATGTAGACGACAAAGGCTGCTACACCGCGGAGGCCATCTAAATATGCTGTGTGTCCAAGCTTTCTTCGCTTGGGTCGGTTGCTCGGGGCCGTGGTGAAGTAAATGAATGGGCTGACGACAAAATCAGGAAGGAGAAGTGCAGAGAGCTCCAGGACGGAGACCAAGCGGTTCTTCCATTGAAGGTCACCACCGGAGTGTAGATGCTTGTCAAGGAAGGACAATAATGGGTTTTTTGCAGATCCTAGCAAAGCGAGAGAGTCGTCGTTATGATTTGTATTGTTGCTGGTCTCGTCCATCGCCTCCGTTGATTGTGAAATTTCGCCATTGTGCCTCGCAATGAGGGAGTATTGTTCGTACGTGTCTTGTGGAGCGTACGAAAAAGGGTTGGGGAAGTGCATGATGAGGATTAATAGGAGTAAGCAAAACAGATTCTCTACTTGCTAGAGACACAGTAGGAAAGGTAAGATCAATTCAAGCATGGAATAGAGTGATGGTGTTCTCAGGGTGTTATATAAGCTCAATCTGTTGATGCCACCGTGAAAGCAATTGGCACGAAGTATACGTGCTAACATTGTTCATATGTGGCTGTTTGTCTCCCTTGGCGAAAATCCCGCCCACTCGCGGCTATCATGCATCCAAATCAGGGAAAGAACTTGCGAGGAATTCGCACAGGAATCTCGAAAGGAATCTAGGGAGGGGTTTCAGGGATTGTAGTGGACCTGGTGTGCCACGCTGTGTCTCGCCATCAGGTTCTCCCTATCGCGAGATCTCCGCCGTGGCGCGTGTGAGCCGTAGCGAGCATGTCGTGCATGTTTAGTGCATTGCTTCCGAGTTCAATATTTGGTCGGGAACGTGAAAGCATATGTCGACCGGTCTCTCTGCACCTGATTTTCGCATCGGTCAAGCCTAACGCTTTCAACCTAAGGTAGCCCTAGCCAGCCCTTTCATTCCCCTGTTCCATTCCTACATTCTCCAAGGTATGGTCGCCAGGATCGCAACCTCGACGGCTGCTCATTGATCCTCATACCGGCGGCGGAGCTGTTATTCCATGCGGTGCCTCAGACGTTGATTGGTAGCCTCGTAGGGCATCCGCCATGCTACTGTGATGCTACAGATTCCGAAAGCTCCGGCATTAGGAATTCAGAGCCCTTCCAGAACAAGATAGAATTTCTGGGTCATATTGAATAAGCGCAAAGCAATTATTGAGGTAATCCGATTCATAGAATAGACCGATAACTCATCAAAGTCGCTATAGACATGAATCATGTCCTGACATCTGTATCCCATCGAGTGCCAATTGGCAACAGGTACATTATGCCCAGTTTTGACCCAGTTTTGCCCCCTCACCGCGGGAATACATGACGGTACGTCATCAACCCCTATATTTTCCCAGCTGCGTTCACCACCACAACTAACATTTCTACAGATGGGCAACTGTCGCGATGTCCTCAAGCGACTCTGATGCGTCTGATTCGTCAGCGCTTTCACATATCACCGTCGCAGTACTTCCCGAAGACCTTGATAGCGCCTGTACAGCTCAATGTAGGCCCGAGAGGTGTGATAACGCAACTGTACGCCCACACGAATCGCCTCCGCTAGAAAGGGGCACACCGGGCCAATTCAACCCCCTCGACGTGCCCTACCGCGCCGCAACAGTACGGGGTCTATCTACTACCCCTTTAGAGCTTTTTCAGCAGTATGTGCCTTTGAGGCTGGTTGAATCGTGGGTACAGTGGACCAATGAAGCCGCAGTACGAGGCCCTGTTCAACAACACTCACGATCCCACAGAAAAAAGACGAGGTCAGGGTGCCTGCAGTGTGGAGTAGCGCTTTGTAACTCGGATGATTGCTGGTACCTCTTTCATAGTCAGAGTATATAGAGAACAGAAGTATCCATAATCTAGGCTTTTTGGTTGGCTAGAAGAAGTCTTGGCTGTCTCCTGAGTGGTCAGTTCCCCTAAGGGCATGTACCTGTTGCCAATTGGCACTCGATGGGATACAACTCGTTCAGACTCGAAGCGCAAAACACAAAATGCGTCCTTCACTTCTGGGAATGTCCACCCCCTTTCATCAATCGGTTGACTTCTTCTCGAACACTCGTTCTAAACGTCTAAGGCGGTAATCTGATATCCTATCCTCACCTTTCATACTTAGTAATAGGGAGCTCATACTCATGATAAGGCAGATCACGAGGTACTAAGAACCCGGCATTAATGTGCGACGCAGAGGCGGCCCCTTTAATAACGCCCGCCTCATAGAGATCGTGCGCGATACGCACCTCGTTCTGAATCATCTGGTCCTCTTCGTCGTGAAGGATACAGAGTGCATCTACCTGCACAAAGATGTCGCAGACCGAGAGCTAGACTAACCTCTACGGTAATGCAGCGGCGGTTGGCATCAACAGTAACTCAAGATAGCGAGGTCGGTACTCTTTCCCACCTCTATCAACCTAACTTGCCCATTATCACAGGAGCATCGATCGCTAGATCGAGTAGGTACGTCGGCTGCCTAAGAGATCGCGACTGCTGCCTGTCGTCGTTGTAGCGAGCATGCTTTCTTCGGCAGTCTTCTAGGCGGCTACGTATCTACCGTTTATTATTTTTTTTGGAATATAAGGCAGATATTGATTCGGCGGTCGAGTTCGAACGAGATCCTGTATGCCAACTTGCGCTTTTATCAGTGTGATGTTTAAGCGATAGATAACAACATACTTACCTATTGATCTTGGCGATCGCGAGAAGGCTCTCTTCAGTTTCCGGTGCCCAAGATCCACGAGGTCAGTGCCAATCACAGTACATCACAGAACACCCACGATGCAAAGAAGTTGTGATATGCAGCGAGACCTCTATCCAGTCAACTGGACCCGAAGTTAGACACTTGTCATTGTGGCTTAGCCGCAAAAAAGGGATCCAAACGCTCTTGCATCCATCTGAGGCGGATTCTCACAGTTGAGGTGTGGGCAAGGTGACCCAAATGTCGCGTTCCAGAATTCAATTCTAGTTCAAATTGTGGCCACATGTCACAAGAATGAACCTGAAGTTGACTCAAGTTGACACGACGCGACGCGACGCGACAAGACACGATACGATACGACACAGCGCGGGGTGAGTAATCCCGGAACATAGAATATCCATGCCTGCAGCATATCGTCTAAGCCAATCACCTACCTTTTGGCGAGTCGAATCAAGCCACAAACGCGTCTGGTTGCATTGGGGCACCACCATTAGCTGAGGCTCTGTACGGCAGACTGCAAGAGGCACTCCGCCAGAACACTTTTTTCATACGTCAAAGCAGAAATCGAATTTCATAGTCACCCCACCACCGATTATTGAACTTTATATTAGTGAGATAAACCATAGATATAGTTTACGTAGAATTACGGCTTAAGGTATATTATTAATTAAGTTTATAAGACCCCGTATAGCGGTATAAAAAATCGTATATTATTATAAACTTGTTACGGCCAGCTGTTTGTTACGACCCAACATGAAGACCAGGGCGTGCCCCGCTGACGCCTAGCGGCTACGGCGCATCATATATGCAGGACGGGACGGAACATTGGGGAAACCCCAGGAACGGAAGAACTATGGTACAGGTCACGTGATGATAAGAGATATGATAAGGGATAAGGATATGTTGGATATGCGACATATCCAACCGAGTCAAGGATATGTTGGATATTCGGCATATCCAACATATCCAGACAAAGTGGACTGTTCAGCACTGTTCAGTTAGGATCGGACTTGTATATAAGGATGGACTCGAGCTGGGCTCTAGAACAGACTTTCCATAGCTTCTTCAGCAATTAACTTCGTATCAGGATTAACATCCGCTTTCAGCTACTACCTTGACAAGACTACGATTGATCACCGAAGCCTTACCTACCCTTACGATTGACAGACATAGCTTCCCTGAAGCTATCCCCGACTACGAATACTGTTACCAGTTCCGCAGCCTCAACTTCTGCAAACTACCCCTACGACTAGCTGGCCGTAACACTGTTACGCCGCCGCAACTTGTCACTGTGGGCGCGTAGCTATATATGCAGAACAAGGGACAATGATGACCGGAGTCATCAT